AACATTAAGATTATTGTTGCATTAAGAGATGAATAAAGCGTCTCTTGTAGAGGAAGACGAGGACAAGGTCCTACACTCAGCTTCCTTTTGTTGCTGGTGGCATCCCACTGTGGTCGACTGATATATTTAATATTTCTGATTTTATATAAATATACTTTTACCATGTTTAATAAATACAATTCAGTCAGACAACTCACGTTTGAAATGTTTATTACAGCAGTATAGCATAGTTAGATTATAGGTTAGTATGTTTACATAGAGATATTGGGTAGTGATGAGCAAATACCTTAAACCCCCTAGCCAGAGCCTACAGGTGGATGCTGGGGTGGTGGTAGGGCTTACAAAGCAGAAGGCAGCAATACGGATGCAGGGTAGCAGCGGCATTGACAGAGCAAAGAGAGAGAATGGGAAATTCTGAAGCTTAAATAGACTGCCAAATTGGAAGAGCGTGCTTGGTTAGTGATTATGGAGTGTGAGGCATGTCATGTGTATAGCAGTGCAGCTCAAGTTGACTACCTGAACTAGCTTGCAGGCTTCGCTCATTTGATTGATTGATTGCAGTGCATACTACATTCATTATATAATACACACTCTTCCGAATATCCCAACCCTTTTTACAATCTGATTTGTAACCATTGTCATTGAAAAAAAAAAGCCTCTGTTGCTGCTGTTCTGCACAGGGGATTACAAATCAGGGCAATTTGTTTTGTGATCAGAATTTTTACAACACAAGGTTGTATAATGAAATTTCGGATGCAGTTGCCTTTATGCTACTTGTGAAAACAAAAAATAAATACACAAAAATTATACAAAGTAAAACAACTAACTTAACTTATATGCCTTCAGCTTCAGTTTTAATGATTCTGGATCATTCTTGCCACAGCTGATTGCTCTACTTACTTTACTATTCAAGATGACGGACAATCCAACAATCCACAATGTTTTATGTTGATTGACTACAGAACAAAATAATGTGAGTGTTTACCTTTAACTACTTTTGGTAATATTACATCTGTACCCAGAGTGTGACAAGCCAGATGCTCAGTGTATAAACTAAATTATACTAAATCTGGAAAGGATAGGTAAGTGTAATAAGTCACTGTAATTATTATTCCTGTCCACACTGGCTGTGAAGCAAACCCTTCTAAATACAACTTTTAACTTTAAGATGTAAATTTTTTGTAGGATTTCCTTGCAGAGCTACGGCAAAGGAATATTAACAAAGAGGGAATTTTGTATTAAAAACCATAAGTTTGAAGTCAGAAAAAAATAGATGATGATATGTCAGATGATACTAAAAGATGATATCCCCCTCCCCTACCACCACAATTCACTGAGAATGACACGGTAGCCACGCCCCAAAGCATACTGTGCTTTATTGTCTATTTTACTCTAAATGGAACCATAATTTACTAAATGAACATTGTGCTGTATGGAAGAAGACTGAAACTAGAGACTGAGACAATAAACTCATCAGGAAACTGTTTACTGAGCTCATAAATCAAGTGAGAAGACGGCTCATTTCTCCATAAAACTGTATAGTATCGGAGCTGCCCCCTGCTGGCCGTTACATAGAATGCAGGTTTAAGACACTTCTGAGTTGGCTTCACTTCACAAAACCATCATATTCTTTTCAAGTTAACGATACTGATTTTTGAAGGGAAAATTCAGAGATTACCAATATGGAAAGAAAATAGACTTATGATGGTGGAGACAGAAATATTTATATTAATAATACTCAGGTATCATGATGGATCTAGCAATTCCTGTATGTTGTATTCCTGCTACATGTAACATGTTTTTAACTGAATCACCCTTTTAGTTTACAGTTCCTTTCTAAAGTGGTAAACATAAACCTTTTTAGTTTGTAAAACAAACTGTAAATCTACTCCCGCTTAGTTTCTCTTGCTCACTGCAGCACATTACGAATGTGGCCTACTCATCTCGTAGACCCAGAAATTGTTTAGTCTCACCTTTACATTAAGAAACATTAGACTGAAATGTTTATTCCACAGTGGTGACTGCGTGATTCTGCTGAAGTGTTGGCATTAGCGCCTTTAACTCGACTACCACTGGCTCCAACCTGGCTGTTTCTTTGTTCACATCATGTTATCATTATATTATATTATCAACCTTTTAAATGAACTAAGCTAAGGCTTTTTTATCAGCAAAGGGGGGAATAAAGAAAAAAAATAAAATAAATAAAGACAGCACAAGCCCTCAATTATTAGGTGATCAATTCGATATAAAGATCAGAAAAGTAATGTAAAAGTAAATAATCTGCTCTGACAGTTTATTGTCAATACTGGAAAGTTTTACATTATCGGGCCTCTAAAAACTATTCGAATAAAACAGTCTATATGTCAATATGGTTTTCTTGAAATAGCACCTAATGTGTCTCTTTTTAAAAAGGATGTTATATTTTTGTGATTAGTTTTTGAAGATTTACATCTTCTGTAGCAGTGCTGTAGCCAAAGCCACCTTTGTTGAGTCAAGACCGAGTCCAAAGAGGTTAGAGTCCAAGTAAAGTCAGAGTTGGTCAATGTCAATACCCGCTCTAGGTGGATACTTCCGAACAAGCGCCCTTCATTATTGGTTTTGTTTTGTTACTTCATAAAAAACATATATGGCTGGATTTGGTCGAGACCAACGAGTCTAAGAAAAGTCTGAAACAATAGAAAAACCCATCAGAAGTAAAATACCAGACTCGAGTACTACGGCACTGTTCTGTGAGGGCTGAGAGACAAAGGCAGAACAGGGAAGTCAGAAAGTTTTGAGAGACAAAGTCAAAATCAGCTGCAGACAAACATGTGACGCTGACTGAAACCAAACACAGTCTGATTTAATTGCAGAGACAGAATAAATAGCGATATCGTAGCGGATTAACTGTGGTGTCCCTCAAGGATCCATCCTTGGACCTCTATTGTTCTCAATGCTTCCCCTAAGCCAGATCATCCAGAACTCTGATGTTTCCTGTCACTGTTATGTGAATACACAGCTTTATGTTCCTCTACGATCCAGTATCTCCCACAGTTAAGATTATTTTGTACTCAACTCTGATAATGTACAGCAAGTGGGTTATTATTGTGAAATAATCCTGCATTAGGGTTTATTATGCATCAATGGCCAGTGTTGCTGTACATTATCCCTTAGTTACTGTGTTTTTATCATTAAGATAAGGTATTCCTTTAATAGTCCCACAATGGGAAAATTCCAAGTCATCATTATACTCCCATCATTTAACATAACTTTATTTTGTCCCCTCAATGTTTTTCTTTTCTGTGAATCACTTTGTAACCTTGTTAAGACTAAAGCACTTCTGGAGGTAAATTAGTCCTCTAGACTGCCTTCAAACACGTCTGCTATCCACCCTGTGGTGTGTATTTATGTTGGAAAAACGTTTATTCAACCATCCCTTTTTTGCATTTCAGCTTTCTTTTTAAACACTTATGCAGGTCTCTCTAAGTCAAAACCTGAAGCTCTGTTTGTTCTTTGTGTGTGTTGAGGAGGACCTGAAATAGACTCTTCAATCAGAGGATTTAAAATAAGGACATAACAAAAGACGTGGCCCATTTTCTTGCAGTCATTTCCAGCCTCTGGGTCATATTTCTTCAAGACAGCGGCCATGAAGTCTTAAAACAGTCTTTTTTTATTTACTGGATTTTTGAAAGCGGGTCGTAATCGTCTCATTCTGTTTTTAGTCTGGATGAAGACTAAAATGAAGAGGGCTCTTAGACAGATTATTCGGACAAAGATGAGATTACACCGTCACTTTTTCCATACACACACAAACACACACACACACGCACACACAGCTGGGCAGATATTTCATTTAACAGTAAATTAAGACATGTGTGTCAGCAGCATTTCCTTATAAAGCAGTGAAATAAAACCAGAGCAGCGTCCTGGTAAAAGCTCTTCTGACTCAACTGTGCAGAACATTTGATTGATTATTATGACCCTGGAAATATAACATTGTGTGCAAAATGAAAGTATTTGCTCATTGTGAACGAGCAGAGGAGTTTAAGTTTTAAAGGGGAAATTTAAGAGGATCTTTTCAACTTAAAAATATCAAATAAAGGAGAATAAGGTAATGTTTTACAACCTTACAGGAAGAATTGGCCACAATACTGTTTTGTTTGTGGAGTTTTGTTTATCAGTAATAATCGGTGAGTTATTACTTGACCAGGTGTAAACCTTACAAACTCTCACACATACATATATATATCATACGTATTTGACAGAAGCAGTGTTTTATGATTGGTTTATTAACTCTGCCTCTACCTCTCTGTGTGCACTTTAATAGTTTCATGTTTAAATTGCAGGCAGTTATAGCTCAACGAGGAGGGAGCGCCGTAAGTTGTGGCTGACATTCTTTCAGTTTTAAGTAGTGCTAAAACAAGCTGTAAATTAATCACTTTAAATTAATTACTTTTCAATCTCATGTATTTTTACATTTTTAGATCATCAGCCATCTAAGAAAAAAACTAAAGATCAGAATATAATTTGCTAAACAAACCGCTGCTAGTTGAACAAACAAGACATTTGAAGTCTGGGCTCTGGGAAACTGTGATGGATAGTTTTATATATTTTATTTATATATATCTTATAGACTAAAGCTATGTCTGCTTCCTAAAGATCCAGGATAAGTGACAAATATACGTCTAATCGTGTCTTTCCATTGAACTTGTATTCAATCACGGCACCTCTTAAATTCAAGACCACGTTCTTTCTGAACACGCAGTGTGATAAATCAATGGAAAAAAGATATTAGCATGTGGAGACGTATTTCCAATTGGATTGAATTTACCATCACTTATGGTGAGAGACCAGTTAAACCTGCTTTTTTCAAATGCGTTTCAGTTTATGTGGTCTGCTTTAGGAACCATTAAAGATAGAGAATTGGAAGAAGTAATGAGGTTGTGTCACTGACATTGTGTGTTGAAAATGTTTTAAGCAGTATCTGTTGGGTAGTGATAATTACTGTTGCACCTGAATGCACCTGTATGCCTTATAGATATAGAATAATTGTAATAAATGTTGCATTTCCTGATTCTGTATACATATGTTTGCTTACTTGCAGGGAAGATCGTCATTGATGGGATCGACATCTGCAAGCTTCCTCTGCAGACACTCCGGTCTCGACTCTCCATCATCCTCCAGGATCCGGTGTTATTCAGTGGATCAATAAGGTACACACACTCACACAAAGCTTCAGGGCATCCTGTTTAATAACCTGTAAAGTATCATCACGTAAAGTCTTGAGATCCACTTCCTCTTAATGTTTTCATCCTCGGTGCCTTTTCACCATCAGAGCAAACAACTTCCTGTTTCATTCTTTTATTCGTGTGTCACCAACTATAACGCCAGCAAAAGAACTGTAAATTGTGTTGACAGGACAAGCCTCAAAGAGGCTTCTTCGTAGCCTGGTCTGTACTCCAAATCGTCTAAAGCTAAAGAGGTTACAAAGTTAGTGCTGACAGTGACATCAAGGACTGCCAAATGGTGCAGAAGTTTTCCAGACAGCAGAAATTACAGCTAAAAAGTTGGAAAGATGGACTATTGCGTGATATCCTATAGGGGAGGAACATGTTGTGGCTAATTAGTCTCAAAACCCATGCGTGTGCACGTGATACAAGCGCACAGAACAGTATCTGCGAGCAGAAAAGTGTCCCTGCGGGGGAGCACTTCTGCTGCTGAATGCACGAATGCGGTCCTGCGAGCCGGGACTGCCTCTCCAGGCCTGTGTGTGTATTAGTTTTAGTTTGAGTTTCCATAAAGATCTAGTGTATATAGTAGTATGTACACTTCAACTTCTAATATCAAGTCCTGTAGGATGCCCATTTATCTTAGAATATGGATAGTAAACAGTAAAATGAGTTTTTTTCATGAAAGAGACCCTCAATGAGAGATTGCATTGAGTCACAACAGCTCGTGGAACAATGGCAAGAGAGGAAGTGACTTCAGGACTTTGGCTTTTGAAAGCGAACCATAGCTGGGCGTCTCTCTGTTGAATTAACCACACTGGAAAATATAGTGCTGAAACACCAAATTATTAAGAGCCACAGCAACAAGTGAATAAGTAACTAAGAGAAAAATGTTTTTTTTGTCCTGCATGACGACACCAAAGTCCCAGCTGTGGGGTTAGTGGTTGAAAACGCAGTGGGAACTCTGGCTTGGACCTAATCTGACTTTTGTCACAGACGTCATGGATTGAGGAGGTCGCTGGAGGGATGAAGGACCCTGCATGGTTTTCCGTCTCCCTCTTCTTCACAGTCACACACACTCACAACCTCTGTGTTTGTCTTACTAGAAGACACAGTGACTCTGTGTTTGTTATAAAAGACAAAGAGCATGTGCTATTTGTTTGGACAGATATGCAGCTCGAGATAATTGTGTGTGTGTGTGTGTGAGAGAGAGAGAAGAGACGGAGTGTGTGTGTGTGTTGGCATTTCCACCAGCTCTTGTTTATGTGAACGTAAGCCTGGGGTGAATGATCGACAGTAACTGTTTCACACTGTTATCTTAGATGTTGCTGTTGTGGTCAGACTCGGTTTGACTCACTCTGACTGCCACACACAGATTAGATAAAAAAAAACATTTAGCAGATTTGTCACATCATGATTATGTCTGCAGCCATTCCTCAAAATCTCAATGAGGGACCCAGAATGAGAGACGTTTAATGTTAAACAAGGAATTAATCAAGTGTTACTTTATACTTTAACAACAATAACATTAATAACTTTTCTGTGTGAGAAAGAGATACACAGACACGTCAGGAGAAAACTATTCAGGGTCCTTTTTCATTTTATTAATCTAATATTTCATCTATTTCTTAGATTATTTTTCTAAATAAACAGCTGTACCTGAAGTAATTTTGTCATGATAGCAGATTTTAAACTTTGATAAAGTGCTAGTATAAAAAACAGATACTTGATCCCTAAATAAAGTCCTAGACACACATAATAAACTTGGTGCTGGTACAGAAAACATACTGTAATGAGAACCAGTTGATTTTCTCCTGAATCGTTTCATCTGTGCAGCCGTGGGTGGAAAATATGATTGTAAATCTGCTTTTTTTATAGCGTCGGTACGTTTTGGTGTTATCGAATGATAAATGATGGTATTATATCGTTTCAAACAAGTGGTATCGAAAAAAAAAAACTTTCTTCAAAGTTCAGCTTCAGTTCCCTCTGTGCATGCACAATCTCAACCAAACTCTGTGCTTTTTTTTGTCCTTTTAAGCTCATATTGCGCTGCATATAAACATTCTAGGCTCAATCAAGACTAAAAATGAATCTGTGCAAGTTTATGGAAACAATCTGTATGTGTGGTAGGGCTGCACGATATGGTAAAAACATCATATTGTGATTATTTTGACAATTATTGCGATGTGATTCAGTGATTAAATCATTGATGAAGGTAGAAACTGTTACTCTACTTATATAAATATACAATAACTCAACATTTTTAACTTTATTTCTGTGTACAACAGGTAGATGCACCTGCTCAGCACCCTCTGCCATAAATTGCGTCCTCTTGTTGCAGGTTTAATCTCGACCCAGAGAGGACGTGCACCGATGACCGACTCTGGGAGGCACTAGAGATCGCTCAGTTGAAGAACATGGTGAAAGCGCTCCCTGGAGGACTAGGTACTCAAATAAATGTCCCTTATCTGAAGATAAAATTACTTTTTATTGCACCAAAAGTCAGCTTTGAAGTCTGAAGAATCAAATAACTTCATACATCTGTTTAACTGAATTTGTGTTTGTGTCCAGATGCGGTTGTAACAGAAGGAGGAGAGAACTTTAGCGTCGGTCAGAGGCAGCTCTTCTGTTTGGCCCGAGCTTTTGTCCGAAAGAGCAGCATCCTTATCATGGACGAAGCCACGGCATCTATAGATATGGCCACGGTGTGTGATAACAGATAATGTACAGTTCTCAGACCACAGACCACAGAGCTCTTCGGGTGTACTCATCCAGTTTACTAATACATTTATTATTCATTTCTCAGTTATAGACACTGTGGAATATAAAAGTACATTTACTCAAGTATTTTACACATTTAAGGCACTTTTTTTTATTTGACAGCTTTAGTTACTAACTAATTTAGGCTTTTACATACAAAACATGGAAACACAGAGAGTCCGCTGGAGCTTTTACAGTCACTAGAAGCACATTCATGGCTCTGTTGTAACATTAGCTAAGCTAGAGAGGCTAATTCTGTGTGTGTCTGTGGGAGACCAGATAAGAAATACCCGGGTTACAACCAGTAGAGGGAGATCACTATCTATTTTTATAGCACAATATGTATAATTCAAATACTTTGCACTAAAATGTCAAGATTTGGAGTTGAATCAATCAACAAAACTAGTAAATACACATTTACATATTTTTTCAGTCTTGGGGGTTTAGTTACTCTTTAACTATTATTTCTTTTCAGATGATAACTCTAATATCTGTTTCCTTCCTTTGCAGGAGAACATCTTACAAAAAGTTGTGATGACTGCATTTGCAGACAGAACAGTCGTTACAATCGCAGTAAGTCCTTCCGTCTGTTCTCCTGTTGATTTTGTTACTGAAAATGAAGCGAAGGGGACACAAACCACAAGGTTTATTTGAACCACACTGTCAATAAATTCCAGTCCTACAGCTCACCGAAGTTCTAGGTTTGTTTAGTTCTGATAAATGCACATATATGGCTCCTTTTCTTTGAGCTTCATGTGCATCTATTGCAGTATATTTTCCTTAAGGATGCTTTATGCATCCTTTTCTTGCACCTTTTCCCTTTTTCACACTAACTGTTTTTCCATACAGTAGCTAATATTGTTCATATTACAAATGAGTGAAGTCTTTGTCATTTCTTATCTGTTTTCCTTTTCTGACTTTTTTCTCTCTCTGTGATACTGTCTTGTCTTCTGTTTACTCTTTCTCCCTCCTTTCATTTCTCCTCCTCATGACCACTTCTCTGTTTCACCCTCCCCTTTTCCTCCTATCCTTTTCTCATTTTCTATTCCTTGCTAATCCTCTTTCATCCTTAATTCCTCCCTTTCTTTATGTCACCTTTCATTCACCTTTTCCATTCTGTGCTCTCACTTCTCTGTCCTCCTACACTTTTCTTTCTCTCCCACTATCCCTCCCATTTCCCTTCTCTCCATGCTTTTTTCTGTCCCCCCGTCCTCTTGTCTGTCCCTTTCGTCCTGCCACCAGCACCATGTGTCCTCTATCTTGGAGGCCGAGCAGGTGTTGGTCTTCTCTTCTGGGATCTTGGTGGAAACTGACTCAGGTCCCAACCTTCTAGCACAGGAGGAGAGCCTCTTCAGTGTGCTAGTGAGGACTCACAAGTAGACCCGGATCAGCACAGACCACTTTGGCTCTGCACGACTCTCTTCTGTCTTTTCTCTTCCTTCCATTTTTTGGGTTTTTCATACTTTTCTTGGCTGAGTCTGGGTCTGCTGAAGCCTTACTGCCACTGACAGCCTGGTTGGTATAAAAATAAACTACTGCATGCTCTTTTGTAGATGTAGTGCAGTGCAATTTGGCCACACCCTGTATCAATTACAGTGTTATTAATATTTAAAACATCCTTCAGTTCGTTCAGTGTTCTTCAACAACTTGCTTTATCTGGGGTTATCCCAGACGGTCCCTGGTATGCTGGGAGATTAGTGGACAGGTGATCAATTGGCTAAAACAAACATGTAAGGATAAAAAAAGATACTAGATACTACAATAATTCACTCTGGGTAAATGTCTGTTTCCATTAAAAACAGGTTAGACTTTCCTTCCTCTTGAAGCATGTTTTGAGTTGCTGATCCTCATCCCAGCAGGGTCAAACTCAGCCTAAAAGAACAAGTCTTATGACGAAAAAAGGCCAACATCATCTGCAAAGAAACAGAGATCCCATTCTAATGTCCTTGACTTGGACAGTTTTTCCTTTCCACTGTCGCCAAGTGCTTGTTCATGGTGAAAACTGTTAGGTCCTTGTAAATGATTTTATAAGGAGTATGGTCTAGACTTGCTCTTTTTGCAAACTGTCCGGAGATAACTTATGTTATGATATAATTAAATTGAATTAAAATTTTTGCAGAATATTTAGGAAACAGCTTCGATTAGTACAAGCTGTACTACACACCTTTATAAATCAAATAAACTTAGGTTCTCTCTTTAAGACTGACTGGCCAAATTGAATTTAGGAAATGTTGTGTTAGATGTGACATTTTCAACTGAGCCACAGGCTTAATCATCCTCTTCAGACCTGTTTTTCTTGGGTGCCCCGACAAAGAGCACAAGGCTTCTAAGAAACATTAGTTCCAGGAAGGAAATGTCATTTTATAAAGCAATAACCTGACATTTAGACATCATATGACCATCAGTGTGTCATCAGACGCATTTATTTAATTGACATTTCAGTTTTTTCAGAACCTAATTGTCATCGTTGCTTTGTTTCCAGCACCGTGTCCACACCATCCTAACAGCCGATCTGGTCATTGTGATGAAGCGAGGGAACATTTTGGAGTACGACAAACCTGAGACTCTTTTGGAGCAGGAGGATGGGATGTTTGCCTCATTCGTCAAAGCTGACATGTAGACGCACAGTCAGTCAGTACGCCCAACAACTGACAGACTGATCAGCTGGTCGATCTACTTCTTTTGTGTTTTCTCACTAAGGCCGACTGACCTCTGTGTCACTACAACACTTACTGAAGCCAATAGCACACAATTGTGTGTTTCTTGAATGAGAAGCTTCTCTGTGTACTCAATGGAAGGGGAAAAAAGATCCAGAAACCCCATCAATCACTAGTTGATGTATTTGAGAAGTTGTACTTGAATCAGTCAGTTAGCCAATTAAGCCTGTTTTTTATAAATGACATATAGAAACATTGTGTATCATTTAAACCATAAAAGTCCATTAATCAGTTAATCCAATTTGCACATATGACATATATTGGAAATACAGATATACAGAGAGTTTTTCTGTACGGTAAACAATAGAGAAATTATTGGATCATTGACCTTTAAGTAACTAGTATTTAGATACTGTATAATAAGAATATGAAAGAAAAAAGTCATATTTTTATGTCCCTAGAAAGCTAATATTTGATGCTAATGGATAGATCTTGATTTGTCGTAGATATCTTGGACTAAGAAGAAGACACAAGAATATATCTTACTTGTGATCTCGGACTAAGACTGTTGAAAGAATAAGGCTGGCATTACTGTGTTTTTCTTAATGCCCGCAAATCCTGAAAAGACCAAAACCAACAATGTGTTCATCCATCTCTTTCTGACTTCCTGTCTGTGGGTCTCAGCCCATTAGTAGTAGTGGAGTAGAGTGACCAGGTGTCTCACTTATGTAGGACTGCACTGCCTTTTTATTGTGGTAAATACAAGTTCATTTATTTTTTTAGAATTTTTTAAAAGCACAATATCCTCAACCTAGCCTATTGAAAAACGGCAAGAAATAGGGAATTTTTGGGGACTATTTTCAGCGGTGGATGAATACACATATAATAGTCTAGGAATCCAGTGCAAAGGTTTGACTTATTGATGCGTTTCTGGACAACAATGGAGCTCTATGGCACAGAGGAAGAAGCTATATTAGGCTTTGATAAGCTCACAGTTCTTGTTAATAGATGCATTCACTGTTGGTTTTGGTCTTTTTATGAGATTTATTGAAAATAAGAAAAATATAGACAATGACTGGTCTTACGATTTAAGTTCTGTCCTTTAACAGGACTATAAGCACCGTTATGCATATCATTGGAAAATCAATCACAGGTCTTTTGAGTGATTGAGCTTTGACACTTCCTGTATCATATGGACATTTATACTACACTTTAGTTTTTGTATTTCATAGTTTTAGATTGAGCAGAACTTTTAGGTCATTTTAATTTGATTTAACTCCAAAAGTCTTTAATTATCTTGTTAAAAATATTTGTTACATTTATTTTAAGCTCATGCACAACACGCATCAGTTGTATTACTCTTAAAGCACTTATATTATGCAAAAATAAGGAAGGGAGAAACTTGTATTTAAAATAACTAAATGTTGGCTCTGGCCAGTGTTTCTGTGCTCTGCATATCAATACACTATGCAGTTTCTCACTGTAAAGGATTTGTATTTTAATATTTTAGACATTTTTATGTTAAGTTCTGCCACAGAAGTAAAACTGATAGAACTGTTGCAGTCGGTAAGCTGTTTTTTATGAACCCCTTTGTTGCATCAAACCAAACTGTACCTGAGGCTGAGAAGAACAGGATCTCTTAGCTACAACTTGAAGCTCCTATTCCCAAATCTAAGAACAAGCGTGACAAAGGAACTCAACATCGAAGGGGCTGCTGCTATTTTCGCTGCCTGTTTGGAAACACTTGTGCAACTTGTGACGCCAAAGTTGGGAAATCAGACCTTACAATGTCTTTGTCATTGTCTTTTGAAATTCCACCAGGAGGTCGACCTGTATGTCTTTTTCCCAGTTTTCAATGCTGTATGATGTCAGTGTGGAAAAGAATTTCCTCTGGGAGAGATGAGCAGACGTCTATGATGCAACAGCAAAGCTCCCACGGTGAGAGAACAGAAGGAGAATCATGAGCAAGTGGGGCCAGTTGCCAAACAACTTTGGTGTGAAGAAGGTGGAAATATACCAGAAACAAAACCAGGATTTGGTTCTTCACACATGCAAAATGTTTAATTGTACTTCTTTGGCAACTCTGTAAAATGCTTTAACTTTATTACATTCAGAAACAGTTGTTGGTTTTACTTCTGCTCATTTCCAAGATGAATCACTTAATAACTTAATAAGCTTGTTAAAGTTAGAAAAAGATGTGTGCATCAGGCACAACACACTACATCCATTAAACCTTAAACTTATTTCTGTGATTTAGAATTGATCATATTTGATGTTTTCAAATTGAACAATGGGAAGTAAAGTCTATAAAGTGAACAAAACAATACCTATTGGGGGAAAAATTTATGGTTTTATTTCTAGTTTACTTCCACCTTTCACTCTGTTCTATCAGTTGTATTTCTACGCCTACACTAGTACAAACACTGTAGGGTGTCATGGCTCAGGCTGAAGCCGGTGAACCCGCTGTCTGTCTGCAGTCATGCTTTGCTGAACTTATTATCCTATGGGACAATAGACACCCAACATGAGCTCCCGTTAACTCCGGAGATGTTTAATGGTTTGAGATTTTAAGATACTGAAGAGTTCCAGTGAAAAGTTGATCCAGAATCTAAACGTGAATCAATTTTTAGTTGCTGAGAGGAGTTCCTCAATGTAAAGGTTGTAACTAATTAATCAACATTTTTTAGATTGACGATGAATCAAACGGCTAAATTTAATGTAAAATGTGTCCATAGAGAATTGTAAGTTTCTTTTTCTACTCACAAACCAGACAAAGGTTAATCAGCTAGTGAAGGAAATGGAGCATTTAGCAGCTAAAGACAGATCATTTTTTATTTCAGAGGTGGCCACAAACACAACTCCAAGTGAATGCTAGTGTTAATGGATGTGTCAGGTGTTGTGTTTTCAGCTTGTTGCACTGCCCCAAAGTGGCCAAAAAATCAAGTAACACAGCTTTAACATGTCAGCAACAGACATTCAAGCCCACTGTTAATTATAAGTTATTGTACAGAGCCTTTGACAATTAACTACATTTTTGTGAGTAGAGTTGAACATTGGTTGCAGGAGAATTTGAATTCTTTTCGGGGAAGTTACATTGTCTATGCAAACAGTTTTTACTTCCTTAACTCTGATCTAGATTATAATTACATAAACATGGACATAAAAGTGATTATTCCCTTAAAGCAATAGTTTAACATTTTCATTCTAAGGTAACAAAAACACAGCGATTCCTATATTCAGGTGATTACACACTAATGAAAACTAATGAATATTATATTCCATTTCTGTCAATAGATCCTTATACATTTTACACACTGGACCTTTAAGTTTTATACTTTGGAGTCTCACTGTTGAAAAGAACTCTCTCTAATAGGTTTTTCTACAATCACTTGTACACTCTGCGGGAGCGGTGCTATTGTCCCTTCGTATTATTGTGATCGATTTATACTTATTTTGCTTTTAAATGAGATTTTTGAATGACTTTGTAATGTACAGACTAAATGCCAAATACATTCTTTTGCAAGAATTTCAACATTTTTTTTTTGTTTTTTTAAATATTGTACTCACAGATGTTTCATCTCAACAAGCTGCCACTTCAGTTTTTCCCTGCTCGCTGGTTTTTCCTTTGTTACACAATTCATTCTGTAAGATATTACACCACAAAGAGCTGGTAGTGATTATAGCAACACGTGTCAGTTACAAGCCTGGAAGCACACCTGCAGTATCTTTATTTCTCACTCGTACGTCTTTTGTCTCTCCAGTTCCTCTTCTCTTAATGACCGATTCTTTGATCCTGATGCAGCTGTCTCGGCTTCCAAGTGCGTTTCATAAATCTTGCGTGTTTCGTTTACTGCATGTGTGTTTCCATGCAGCTTCTGTTTTGCACTCATCAGCCAGAAACCTGCCGACTACTGCCTTGTAAATTCTTCGCTTTGCACCCCCCTCATAAAAACCCATATTTGTCTTCGATGGAGAGACACAGGGAAGGCAGGTTTTAACTCATTTAATGAAAAGCAGGACACATATTTTAGTGTTTTTTCTTTTTTCAGTATCATATTTAAAGTCTGTTTTGAACTTTTCTTCCCCATCTTTTAGTTTTTGGGGAACAAACAAATGTATAGAGACGTTTGCATGTAACACAGAGTGAACATTACACACACATTATCCACACAGACAGTTTACTCTCATGAATGCACATTTGACCATTACAGAATGCGACTTAAATATCATTTTTACAAGTACAGGTAAGATTTTTTTTAAATGTATGTAAGTGTACATTCTGTATATCCAAGAATTTTTAAACTTATATAGCAAAGGATTATCTGTGCCTATTTCTTTCTCTCTTTTTTTACACTTGAAATGATAATAAAATGGTTTTGAGTGAAGTGAGTCTTTTTTTCCTCAATAATCCTGCACTACATGACCCCCAACAGTTTGGCTAATATACGATATGTTGCTAAATGGCGCCCCCTGGTGACTAAGTCCAATTCCTGGATATTAACTTTCAGCACAGCTGCTGTTAAAGTGCTTTAAACTCATATAAAGAATCAACAACTTTATTTACCAAAGGAAATGTACAAATTAGTTCAGACACAAATAAGAACACAACATAATACAATAGAGCTGATTACTACAAAAATAATATACAAGTATTAAAAATGAAGGTAAAACGATCAACTCAAACAAATATGTAAATAAGTAAAAAGTAATAAGTAAATTAACTTATGACAGTTAAACACAAGTGAAACTGTCAGTTTACTTATTAAAAATGTGATGTATTCATTTATTTCATAACAATAAAGTTATAAATGTTCTTCATTTAACCCTGGTCTCTATTTTTATTTAATTATCACAATTAATCAAATTCAATACAGACATTGCAGCAGAAACGCAAGTAATGATTATGGTTTTATTTTATCTTCTTATATCTATTAACAACTAACAATTCTTCTATAAAGTGGCCATTTATTTGTCTTAAGCTCTTACTAGTGGAGTGGGAGACTATATAGCTCATAATGTCTAATTTATAAACTATTAAGGTCTATATCTGCATTAACTGCACTGATCCAGATGCTCAGAAAAAGGCACCAAAATTGACTTTAAATCTTTAAATATTTAGAGTCTATCCTATATGGTTTAATTGCAGCTGCAAATGAAAGAGAATTATAAATATTAATTAATTCATGATTATTTA